TATGTCTGTTGAGTTTTAAGTAATAATATTTTTTACAAGGATGGTAGGGAAAAATATTTTCAGTTTTTTTCTTTCTAAATAGTCATTCAGACTAAGGATGTTTATTTCCTTAGAAATTATGCATGGGCAAACACATGTACACACTAATGATAATGAAAATAATTTTCTTTTGAGTACTTGAGTTATAGTTTTAAAATCTGTCTGTTGGTGAGATGTAACTTAATCCCTTGAGTATTTAAGAACCATTCCTGAGACTGTCACCAAAAATTAGCAAGATTAGCAATTCCTTTTCACTTTCAGGATGCCCCATAAGAAAGATGTTTACTTGTAAGGGTGCTGGTTTTCTAAATAGAAATAATGTCTGTAGTGCGCTCTTGGAATATATACGCTTTGTGAAATACAGAAAGAGTGGAGAAGTGCCTTTTTATACAGCTCATGGCACAGATATGTGGCAGTTTACATAGGTAAAAATTACATGTTGGCAAAACTACACAGAAACTCCTTTCCTATCAGATAAGGATATACATTTTTGAAGATAAATAAAGTTGTAATAGTTATGTAACAAATGCTCGAAGTAAGTTATTATTCAGGAATAGCATCGTATTCTTTCATATATACCTGCTGCCAATATTTGTTAGAGGGTAACAGAGGTTACCTGAGGGGTTATTCTTTCCGGGTTTAAGATGCCCAGGAGGAACTCAATCATATTTGGTGTTCCAGGATGTTAGTATGTGAGGCTGCTCAGTCTCTGCTTCCTGTAACGAGGCCTTTTTAAGAGAACTGTTTGTGATTTTCTAGACATAAACTCTTGTCTGCGTTAGCAGATCTTTGCCAATCTCATGCCTATCCCAACAAACAAAAAACTGTTACTGATTCTCCTCTCCCTGTGTGTACTTCAATATGGTCCTGTACCTGTCAATGTATTTTCTTCAGATTTATATAGCACAGATAGAAGAATAATCGGATCCTTTCCTCTGGTTTTATCTATGGGCTGTGCATCAAATGACTTATTTTAAAGCTGTTGTGATTCAATGGGGATGTTTTTAATTTGCTGCCTGTTCTCTTTACCTCTGAGGAAAGAATTTTGTAAATGCTGAATAATTTTAGAACATGTTTTCTTGGTTAAGGGTTGGATCATATTTTAAATTAGTTTTAAGAGGAAGGAAATAGTGTAAATGCTGTGGAATTCAGATAAGCACTGTGCGTAGGAAACAAGTACTTTAATTTAGGGTGCCTAGAATTGGTAGGTCAAGCTGATGATAATAAAGGACCAGATCTTAACTTTGTTTCAGAAAACATGTAATCAATATTCACTCTCCTGTGTTATTTCCTCTTTGCTTCAGAATTTATTTTGGTTAAGCTGAAGTATGCAATTGCTTAGATATTCCACAGGGTGTCACGAGGCAGTTGTTAGAATCATTAATACTTGGATGAAAGTAAGGAAAGAAACTCAGTGTGCAGTCTGCTGAATGCCAGTTAATGTAATTTTAGATGTGACTAATACACATGCCATAAAATAAAAAGTTCTTAACTCATTAACACATGTATCTTATTTCTGTATCTGTATAAAACATACACGTGAAGAAAAATATTACTAGAGATCGTTTACAAGAACTATTCTATGCCAAGTTTTCACCAAACCGTTTCTAAATATACCTTAATGTTTTATAGCTTACAGAACAAGTGGAATAATTTTGCCCGGAGTAGTAATCTGACATACCAGACCATGTATGTATATAATAGTAATTTTAAAAAAAGCAACATTTGCATTTTTCTTGCTGATATAAGCACTTTCTAATTGAAATCTACTCATTTAAATTTATTTTCAAATTTTATTTTAATCTTTTTATTTCTTTTTAAATTTAAATTTATTTTAACTTCATACAGTACACACAGCTGTGCTCCAGGCATGATAATTTGTTAATTATTTGATGTTTTTTTGCATGTGGGGACCAAATTTTCTATTGTCGTAAGTTTTGAGTTCTGTGAAAATGCTCGTGTGAAGAATTCATCTTCAGATTTGTAACAAAATCTTTACACGTAGTTTAACAGTTATTATGGAGAATCCAGATTCTGTTCAAGTCTGAATTGCTTGAAATGGAAATAATATTGGCTGTGAGAAGAATAACATTATCTTATAAAATGAACAGAAAAAGTTAGTGACTTGTCTCATAGTGTTTATATACTGTCCCACTACATGTTTAATTTGAATAAGTATTGTAACCATCTTTTCAGTTTCCTCTTTATTTTTTATCCTTCCTAATGACCATACATTAAGAAATTATCTAATCTTTGACATCTTCAGGATATAGAAAGTTTGCTTCTGCTGAAATGACCTTTTCTTATTCATTGAGATCATTTGATTGGGATGATGGAAGAATATTATCCACTGCTTATAACATTGAAGGCAATCATTTATTCACAGCTCTTCTACAAAGTTTAAAGTCTCTGTATTTAAACACTGTCACAAGGAAAAAAAAAAAAGCGCTCAACTTTATGCAGAAAGTGCATAGAGCTCACGCTACCATCAGGAATAGGAAGGCTACCATGATTGCTTGGCTGATCAAGAATGTATTATAAGATTTATTTATAAAGATTTCATTAAAAGTCTTCATATATAGATATAAAATCTATATAAATCTGTATTCTATATAACAAACATATCTAATGTAAAATATGAAGAAATTCAATGCGTATCTGGTACAATTTTAGTTTCCTCCTTATTTTAGTCTCCACATTTGTCTGGAAAACTGGAAGTTCGTTCTTGATATCTAATGAAAATGTTCTGCAACTACAGCGCTCTCCAACTTCTAGTAACAATTTACAATCCAAACTGCTCTGTATGATAGTGAAAAGCCATGAGTTTATTTCAGTTTTTTAATGAAATTGTCAATTTATACAATCAGATGGTACTATCCAGAAACTACTGCTTTTCTGCATAGTGGCTTGGAGTGCATCCTAGCTAAATAGATATTCATAGTCACTTGCTTTGTTCTGTACTGTCACTGATTACCACTGAGAAATTAAGGCTGACAAGGAGAGAACCTTGATCAAAATTTCTGCTGCTGCAAGATCAGTCCATACAGATAGAAGTACAAAGCAACTCAATTCCATCTGTTTTCATCACTGAGAGTCATAGCACTTGATATATTTCTGTTATACCTTCTGAAAGCATGATCTGGGAGCAGTAAGGCAGTACTGCTAAGGTGTGGGGATTGCATGTGCGTTGACAGCAGTGTAGGCTGGGTTTCTGCTCTGCTGTCCTGTAGCATAATGTCTTCTGAAAGAAAATAGTGTTTCCTAATTTATTTAAACCCATGATAGGAAAGAAAACCAGTTGCGTAGGATGCTCTGTGGTAACACTTTGTATGCCTTGAACTGTGCTCCTTATCTAATGCATTTTTTGAGGATCTCATGTTATGTGAAAAAAACTTCAGAAATAGAATATTTTAAACTTTTTCTATGCATCATATATTGTAAAGCAGTTAAAGTTGAGAGACCTCGTTATGCTCTTAAGGTCATTTGCTGACACGGGAATGTGACCCAGGTTTCCATATGCTGTAATTCATAAAGTCTTTGAAAATAAGAATCAAAACCAAGTTTTGTAAAGGTGGTGGTGGTGGGGGAACTAGTAAAGTGATGAATGCTGTATTTAATTTCTACAATATTCTTCTGCTCTGTAAACTCCCATGGAGTTTCATAAACTTTGTGGAGTCAGTTCTTATTTGCACCATGTGTCTTTTGTGAAGATCATTTGTTATTTAATTTGTTTATCAATCTATTGTCTTAGAATAAACATGTCTGCTGAAACCATTTACCTTTCATTTATCTGTTAAACGTATTTTTTACTTGCTCAAGTTCTGTCTTGTCAGAGGTTTTTCCTGTTAGAACCTTTCTTTCAGAAACAGTGAGTCACTTAAATCATTTGTGCATCTATGTATTTTATAGAACAGGAACATAATTAAATACATATAAGTTTTGGCACAATTAATTTTTCATCTCAGTCTTTCTAATGCTTTCTGTGATGTATTATAAAAAGAGGACTAAGCAATTATTTGTTTCTATTTGTGCTAAATGTTATCAAGCAAGCTTAGGTTTTATGTCAGTGATGTATTAGTGAGTAGCACCAAGAGCACAGGAAGAAGGGAGGTTGATTCTACTCACAATTAATAAAATTGTACACAAATAATAAAATTGCTTGCCTTTCTGCTTTGTGCCCAGAAGATCACAGTATCTTACAGCCGTAGAATAAGATTGCTGTGACCATCAGAAGCTGAGTGCATTTGTTCAGGCTTGTTTCCAGGATCCAGCTGGTCCTTGTAGACAATTCTTTGAGCAAAAATTTTCCAACTTGCAAAGCAGTGTGTTTATAGGAAGAATTAGATCTGCTTTAAGTAGTTTTATTGTCCAAAACACACCTTAAGTCTTCATGGTGTTAAATAAAAGGGAAAGAAAGGGTGGACTTCTTTGCACTTTTCTGTTTTGTTTTGATTCATTTTGATTTTTAAAATATAAACACCCTGACATCTGTCTGGATGAGTTTATTTTACAGCAGAGCATTATCTTCTCTCCTATTCCTTGATTTGGGACTGAGGAACTGAATTTTGCCTCTTTCTCTTTGTTCTTATTACAGCTAGAATCATCTAAAGGGACCATTCCACACATACTTTGAATTACTGAAATAATTGAGTACCTTAAACTAAAGTGATTAATAACAAAATATTTAAATAATAAAATTATTGATTATGCTGATATTGTTTTCTTTAATTTATTAGAAAATGTTTTATAGCAAAGGACAACAAATCAGAGAATATAAGTTTAATATGTTATATAAAATGTTATATATTTATATGTTATTACATAACATATAAATTTACAGTATATTGAAGTATGTGTATTGTATGTATAGCATGTACACATTCCATTGCTCCTATTGCCCAATTCTCTACTGGAATGGTAAGACAAGGTTTATGATTATGATGATCTGTTTTTATTTTCAGATTGAAAATCTACAGGAGCAACTTAGGGACAAAGACAAACAACTAACTAATTTAAAGGACAGAGTGAAGTCATTGCAGACAGATTCTAGTAACACAGACACAGCACTAGCCACCTTAGAAGAAGCTCTATCTGAAAAGGTAATGTGTTCTTATACAACAGCACATTACGTGCTGCTCCTGCAGGTGAAGCATGTCCAGAAAATGTCTTTTTAAGTTAGTCTGGCACCTGAAACGATGCTTATGGGCACTGTCAGGAGAGCAGGTGGGCTCTGTTCTGGCATGAGGGACAAGGAGTGATTCCTGACTGATGGTGTGAAACAGAATTCTGAGATACCAGAGGATATCCTTTTAAATGGGGATAGAGCAATGTCCCAGGACACATTACAATTTTCCCTTTCTGGATGGAGGGAGTGCTTTTTCCCTGCATAAACTGAAAGGCATGGACACCTGGCTTTGATAGAAGGGAGAGAATGGGGTATTTTGATGGCTTTGTGATTTTGATTATCCTGTTATTTTGCCTGGTAAACAGAGCCAAACTAAAGAGCCAACAGCAATTGACAGTGCCAGCTGCTCCCATGGCTTACTCTGAGAACCACTGGTTTACTATGCTTAAGATATAAGAGAAACTGTAATTTATATTAGAAAGAAAACTGGATGAGAAACAACAAAAATCCTGTAGAATTATTTCCAACTTTCCTACCCCTCCACCTGCCCTTTAAAAAATACATGCTTTTAAACAGAAGCTGGCCCACCCATTTCAGCCAGGTTTTTTTCTACCAGTTTACTTTGTATAGGAGAAGTGAATTTATGCAAAAAATACCCAACTAAAAAATACAAATGAATACTCACTTTTTTTGCATCTAACAGATCTTCATAGTGTCACTTCAGTGTGCACAGGTGAGCTCAACTAATTGAAACATGATGTGCCATTTTGCAGTGTGTACTACAGTGACGGCATTCATGGCTATAGAACAGTTTAAAATGCCAGTGTGATGTTGGTATTAGCACCTACATTGCTGATGTTAATTTTTTTATTTCTTTGTATGTTTACACAACAAGGGAAAAATGGCATTTCTAGTCATTTCTGTTGATTCATATGGATAATTTTGAAAATCAGAAATCTGGACACAGCATGTTATAAGTAAATGTCAGGAATTGCTTTTTAATCTGCTTTTCTTCTTGGATACCATCTGCTCTAAATTAGTCTAAGTTATTAATTTCTTGTTATGCCCATAGAATTTAAAGCACTTCTCTAACCATTGTTCTACTGATGTCAGTATAGAAAACAGAATTAAACTTGATAGAAATTCTCCTGGGCATTTAAGCACAAAGTGCACAATCAGAAGCCAAAGGAGCCACGTATCCCACATTTTGCCTGAGTTATATATGTTGAAAGAGAAAATGCAATTGAATCTTCAGTCTACTTACTACTAGAAATAGAAAAGTTGAAGAAGTACCAAGTTAAGATAAAGTGAAAATTAGTGAGTGGTGGCAGTTAACTGTTTTCATGCCTTTTTATACCAGTGTCATTCTAAAATCTAATGAAATAAGTATAGAAGCTTTTATGATTTTTGAGGTGTTTTCAATGTAATGTGAAACTAAGTACTCTGTTAATCTCCGATACAGAAACTAAAATTCCACTAAATTCAAGATGCAGTATTTTTTAATACAGCAGTGTGGATAGTTGGGCTATAGATTTTCTTTCCATGTGTGAAAACTTAAAATGTGATGAACACTTCAGATCCTGATGTTATGGAATTTTCAGATTTCTAAAATGAAGATTCAAATTCTATTTAATGATGCTAGCTTTACTGTTTTGGAGAAGTTAGATGATCTTTGAACTCTAGATGCAAATCCTCTGAAATTTACTTTTGTTTGTAACTTATGTCTACTTCATTTGGAACTTCATGGATATATATGAGCAGATACTTTTTAAAAGCAATGTGATTAGGGTTTTTTTTTTCTTCTCCAAGTGGCACTGAGGAGAACTTGCATGGATTCTCTAAGGCTGAATTCAGTACAAATTAGTCACTTGCTTAAATAAAGTCAGTGATGAAGACAACAGAATTATTTTGCAAGACGGTGCTTTTAAGTAATGTCATGAAGCTGAATTGTGTTGTGGTATTTGATGACTGTTTCTGTCACTTAAGCAGTGCTACCTTTCTAAGTCTGCAAGCTTCACCAAGGCTATGCTTTCAAGGGTAGGTTTCTCAGTCTTAAGAGTAGTCTCTGGGACATTTTTATACACTGAAGGAAACCAGTAAGCTGCTTCTGGAAGTTCTTAAATGAGTTGTGATGTCTAGATTCCTTATTTATTTTGGAGTTAATACCTTGGCAGTTTATTTTTACATTGGTGTCTCATCCTTAACTGTGTCCAATTTTTCAGTCCATCCTAGCTGCTTCTCAATTTTTAATATCAGCAGACTTTGTCAATTTATTAACTTTTTCCACTGCAAATACTGTTAGAAATACAGACTAGATTTTTGCCCCAAACAAGAACACTTGGTTTTGGTTTCTTAGAAACAAAATAATTATTATAAATAATTTATCAATTTAAATTTGCAATGCTGTCAAACAAGAATGCTGCTTTCATTCAACAATACTGGATTTTTAAGGACATACAATGATTGTTAGTGTTTAGATACCCCTTATTTCTTTACAGGTTAAATCCTCTGTAAGCTAATCTCTTTCCACACTCTAGTAATGACATCAGATCTATTTTGCAGCTATATCTTGTCTAATGTTACGTATAGCTTTTGACTTCACCTTCATTGTTAAATTCCCTGGTTGTCAGAATTTTAGTTTGTGAACAAATAAATAAAAGTCCATGAGCGCAATGGGAAGATCATTTAAAATTGAGCTGAAAATTATTTATATCAGTTTAATTAACCAGAGTTCAGTAATACTAAATTTAGTTCCTTTTTTTAGTTTTATGCAGATAAAAAAAAAATTAAAACAGGACCATGTAATGAAATTAAATCATGAAGCTCTTTTTAAAGTTTCAAAATGGAAATGTTTCATTGTTTTTGAAAATACTCAGATTGAGAATTAAGCTCTGAACTAGAAAATAGGACTTCTAACTCTTCATGAAAGGTAGATTTTTCTCAAGTATCTCTCTCCACTTAGTTTTTTACACAATTACAAATTAGGTAGCTTGGATGTAGTATAGTATAGATGTATGAAAATAATCAAAATTTCCTGTAGTGAACTGTAATCTTATATTTTTCAGACGCTGATATCACTTTTTCGGGAATCAGAAATGAACCAACACAACTTTAGGCATTTTTGAGCACATCTTAGAGCTCACCGGAAAGATGTACTCTTTCAATTCCTTCTACATAAGCTTAGAGTCTCTGCTAGGTGCTGAAAATTCTTGACAATGTAGATTGCATTGCAATAAACCAAAAATAAGTTCACTCCTCTTAAAAAAAAAAAAAATAAAATAAAATCAACATTAGAATATGCAGAAATGCTATCAGCTCCCTTGATGTTTTAACAAGAAACTTTTCAAAGAATATCTCAGCTCTTGCACTGGTCCAGAGCAGCTCAAGAGGCCGCTTTCATGAAGCTGATATTCATAAAGTTGGTCCTACTGTAGCAGCATACAGAAGATAAGCAATTGAGTATGCCTGATAATAGAGCTATATGCTGTGGCAATTCAGTTCCTGCTTCTGTGATAAAGTGCAAATAGATTAGACCTGTGAGGTCCTAGATTAGTGCATAGGAAAACTTGCCAATGCAAATACGACTGAAACAAGAACACATTGTTGGGATTTCTCTAAGCTAGTTGTTAATCAAATAAAACATGGTATATTAGGGCCTTTTAACACATGTTTTTGACATTTGGCTTTATGCAGCTGACAAGCAAATTAGTCTTCTTTTGTGATTGAATGAAGAAAAATGTATACTATTTCATTAATAAAGTGAAATTAAGTGCATGTTCAATTTGTTTTAGAAGAAAAAATAGTGTTGTGTAGCTTAGAATTTACTCTATGAAACAGTGGTATTGTGCTCAGTACATCTGCTGTAGCTTCCATGGAAATAAAAAGGAGGCATTATTTTCAGAGCGATCTGTGTGTGTGAACACATTTCTCTATGAAATCCTGCCAGGTGTTGGTACAGCCTTGGAAACACTTAATTACACTGAGCCAAGCATTTTTCAGTTCTGGTTACTTCTTTTTTTTTTGTTTCCTCCTAAGGAGAATGAAGTATGTCGTCATTGTATTTTTCTTTCTAAGTAAAATTAATAGGGCTATGAGTTTCAAATGTAGCAGTCTTTGCTGTTTTATGCGAAGATTTTCATGGTAATGCTAATTCTCTAAGCAGGTATGTTCAGCTAGCTAAGACTTGGGAATGGAGTTCCTCTTGTCAGGGGAATACTGGATACAAAAAGAAAGCAGCAGCATGATTTCAGCTTTCTGAAAAGGTTTTCCTCAGGAATTCAGCAGCACATAATAACTGTTCCAATATTCATAGTACAAGATTAGTCAATACGGTGCTGATTGTCTTCTGATATATTGAAGAGATTCCAAATACATTTGCAATCTTAGGCATAAATATTTAGTAAAGATCTTAATCTGATTATTTAAAAACTCCTAATAATATACAACATTATAAAACACTGTGTGATGTGCTTTTGATTCCAAATATTGGTAAAACAAAGAATAACAACTGATAGCCAATGTTACATAACTGAAAGGAAAAAAATTAATTTGGAGCATAAATGTCTGAATTGAATTGGTTCTACAAGGAGAACCAATATAGCACATATTTTGCACCTAAGTCTAGTTTCATGTCCAAAAACAGATTAGTCATTTAGCAAGCATCTATGTTCTGTTTATACTCCATGTCTGCTTTCAATATTTGATCTTAACAACTTATGCTACAAAATAACATATAGGACATAATAATTTGTTTACTATTTAGACATAACACAAAAGGAAGTTTGTTTCTGATCATTTAAAGTAAGAATATAGAACTATTAAAAAAATGAAATTGAACTAGAAAGCTGAACATGCTTAATTGCAAATACAGTGAAGTCTACAGTTTTTAAATAAGTGACAAATATTAGAAATTCCAAATAGATTAACATCCCTTTGAGAAGCTGAATGTTTTGCCGAATGTATTGGTAGAATGTGATTTTGATGAATATTGTCAAGACTTAACAAATCCCATACTAATGCTTTTAATTTTTTGCATTTACCTTTTAAAATTAATTGTCCAGTTAAATTAACTGTCCAGTTACCCACTGGTGATTTCAGCAGTCCTTATAGCCAATACAAGTCAGCAAAATATTGATAAATATGGCCAAGTTTAAACATGCAGGCTCACTATAAATTAGATAGAGAATGGATACCATAAGGATACCATAAGGGTAGGATATTTTTTCTGTGTTTTAGACAACTTATAGTTAGTAAATGATTGATTTCTAATTACATTTGGAGACATTAAAACTCATCTTGCAGCCTGTATAGAGGCTACTAGCAATCAAAGCAAACTCAAGCTGAGCAAACCAGGCATGGCCTTTCTGTTTTGAACTTGTATACAAAGACTTCAATCACTTACAAATACAGGAAATGCATTACTGAGTTGAATAACTTTCTATATTTGTCACAACATTAGGCATGCTCAGGGCAGCATATCAATTTAATGAAGTTTCTGTGCTATGATACCCTCAAAAAGTATTTTAAATCTTGATCTGGAGTTATTGACAGAAGGTCTTCCACTGACTTTAATATCATTAACTTTAATATTCCTCTGTTTCTGAAGGTTGGTTTTTCTAATTGCTACTGAATGTAAAGAAATTTTATTATACTTTTTCTTAAAATGATACCCAACTTTTGCATTTTTCTATTCTTTCCCTTGTTAGGAAAGAATAATAGAACGCTTGAAGGAGCAAAGGGAGCGAGATGACAGAGAAAGACTTGAAGAAATTGAATCTTATAAGAAAGAAAACAAAGACTTAAAGGAGAAAGTTAATGCTTTACAAGCTGAACTGACAGAAAAAGAGGTCAGTCTTCACAATAAAATCTATATTCTTCTATGTCATGGTGATGAAAAGAAGTGCACTAGGATTACTCTTGAATCATTTAAAGTAGTGAAATTCTGCCACTTCAATGGTCAGCTTCTGAACTGGTGTTTTCTTAGGCATTCTTCATAGTCCTCGCTTCTGTGCATAAAATATTGCTTCACTTTTTGCATAGATGTGTATTGTCTTCTCTACATTTCTTGCTCCATAAGCTTCCAGAAGGCTCAGAGATTCTATTGTTGCTTGTTTTCACTTGTCAATCAGATCAATAGACTTCAAAGTAATTGTACCTCCGGAATATAATGTCAATTAGCCTGTATTATGAATGTTTCTGTGTTTCACTATATGCCAGCTCCTGTGGTTCCGTCAGTTGTATTCTTAAAATACCGTCTTTGGCTATAAATGCTTATCTTTGTGTCAACTCTTTGGGGAAGTGGGGGGAAGAGCATCAAAGTGATTACTGAGATGGCAATAAGTTAGTGTCCCGGTGACTAGGAATTAACTTTTTGCTCTTGGTCATTTTTCAGTCTAGTTTAATCGATCTCAAAGAACATGCATCTTCATTGGCATCAGCAGGGCTGAAAAGAGACTCCAAACTTAAGTCTTTAGAAATAGCCATAGAACAAAAGAAAGAAGAGTGTAGTAAGTTGGAAGCACAGTTGAAAAAGGTAAGTTCCATCTTCAAAACAAACAAAATCCAGCTATAATCAGGAAAAAAACAACCCCCCCCCAAAAGCTACAAAACCTCTCATTTTGAATATATTAACTAACTTACTCTTCTAGAGTCATTCTAAGTCTACCAATACTGTTTGCTGATGCTTGCATAAAATACTTCTAACTTTTAAGAGACTTTTACCAAAGCCACTAGAAACCTCCAAAATTATATTGAATACCTCTGTGAGGGAATTCTGAGAATCTGTGGCAAATCAATGAATTGGGAACAGGATGTTGGAGGGAAAGTAGAAGGGCAGAGAGAAATTATCAGACCAGCAATTTGTATGTGAATTAATTTATACCTTGATTAGAAGTAAATGGAAATGCTTATAGCATAAGAAATAATTAAAGCAGCACTTTCTAATGAAAAAAGTCTGCTTCTAAGATGGAAATTAGGTTTTATTTCTGCATTCTTTGGCTTTGTTGATGAATGTGTGTTTGTGATAATTGAGCAAAATAATACAAAGCTTACTTCAGCTATCAGTTCATTATTTCTATACAGGTAGTAAAAGCAAGCAGCTAAAGGAAAACATACAAATGCTGTATTTTATAATGTAGTTTCATTTAAATTTATGCGTTAATTTATGCATTACAATATTTTTTGCTTAAATGATTTGCAAGTTTGTTTATGCTGTTTCTTCCATACATTGTTTCTTTTTTTTTTTTCCTGTGTCATTTGGTAATGTCTGCTCTCAGTGTTCGAATGCCAATGTCATGATGTGTTTGATGGGTTTAGGCAGTATGTTTGCCTTCTGCAATTCATAAGTGTGGAGCAAACATTAATTTTTGATGTTTCATTTTCTAGAAAAGTGTTTGTTTATTCTATGAATGCTACCACTATTTGGATAATATTCTGAATTTTTCTTTTTAATGCAGGTTTAGTAGTACTGCTCTTTAAGCAGGATTTTGGTACAAGATTATTGAAGGGTATTTATGTTATCTGTGAAGAAGTTCTTGCGAAGTGTAAAAAGGATACTAGAATGTAAAACTGAGAATTCTTTTAATATGTTTTTGAATATCTGCAGTTAGGTGCCTGTATTATAATAGTTGTGGAGATGAACAGAGAGAATCTTTTCAAATAACGTATACAAAAGCTTTGAGTTAAACACAACTACTTCATAAGTTGCATAGTTTACAAGTGCTATTGATACCTGAATTAGAAAATGGAAATAAGCTGTTTTCATGCGAGTCCTATTTTTTAATTTTCTTTTGTTAGAAAATGTATGCATTTACATTGTACTTCACTATAAAATATACTTCGTTATAATCTAAAATATCTTATTTGTCTGCAATTAGAAAAACAATCACTAGTAAAACAAATGAACAAACAAACAAAAAAACCCTAAGGCACAGATAACTTCAAAAATAAAAATACTCTGGAAGAACCTGAGATCCTAATTCAATCTTTTATGGCTGTACATATAAACACATCATGTGGTCATGGAAAAATAAGCACTTATAAAAGTCAGAGAGAGTCTAGGGCATCTGTCATATAGAAAAGGGAGTATGTTCCTTGTGTATGAATACAAAGGATTATTAAACGAAAGTTGAAAACATAATAGCTTTATTATATCATAAATAGAGCATAAAGCCCCGATGGAAATTCACCCAACATTTGTAGGAGACCAGGTATTTCCACAATAAAATGTAGTAACAACCTTCTTTGTGGGCATGTTTAGTTGAATAGAAACAGTGACTGTTAATACTAGTAGACTCCAAACAGTAATTTTCAACTCACATTTTCACTAATAAAATATTTTATGTTCAAACCTGTAAATATCTTGTGTTAAAAGTAATTGGTCCCTAGAAATCTACCTTCACCATGTTTTCACTTTTTAGAAAACTAACCAAAACAGAAAACTGGGTTATTCTTGCCTGTGTCTGACTTAGGATAGGAAGGAGCATCAGCATATTTCAGAGTAAATTGACTTACGTGCCTCATAATTGTGCTTATTTGTGAAAATAGGAAGCTACAAGCATAGCTTGTATGTTCTTTTAGGGTGACACAAGATTGTTGCTTACTTTGAGAAACTTGACTGCAACTTAAGATTCTTCTCTTTAGTATGATATAAATAAGGCACTTTTCATTATGATATTTAACAAGGATCATAGTTAAATTTTGATTTATATGTTTTACCAAGTTCTGTTAATAAGTATGAATATAATGTGCTTAACTGCTAGAATTTACAGTTTTCCACAAGTGCTAATGGTAGTAAGAGCTATGCCTGAAAGAAAATGTGTACAAGGGACAAGTATAATCAAAATCTAATTTTGTTTCTCTTTTTTCTTCTTTTTTTCCTTATCCTATTTTTTTTTTGTGAGAGAAAAAGATTCATTTTTTGATAAGGAATTTGTTTTTTAATTGAATCTGATCAAATACAAATAGTTTTTATTTTTTACTTAGCTGTTTTTGCTTTTCGTTTTAAACAGTGGACATGTTTGAAGTAATAAATAAGGTGTTTATAATGGGTAATTATTCAAATGAGCATGCAATATTTTGGTGCACAAAATAATGTTTAAAGCATTAGGAGTGTGTATTAAACAATTTGAGACAAAGATGAAGGACTGAAATTCAGGAAGTTTAAGAAAGTCATAAAATAAGAAAAAGAAGAATGTTCAATGCTTTCTGTGCCAAAATTCTATAGATGACTACTTGACTTACATTGTGTTGCTATTAGTGAAAGAACAACAGGAATTAACTTAATAGGTAGCTAAGTATTTTCTATGCGTGTGTCCATATATATATATATATATCTAATGTGTGTATATATATATATTTACATATAATCTTATTATCCACTTCAGAATATCCTCCTTTTGTTTGTCATTATCTTAAATTTAGTTGCTTACTGACATATTTGCAGTTGCCAAAGGACTTTTTGCCAAGCTGTACTGTTGAAAAGTCATTCTGCATAGAAAATTCAGTACTGTGTTAAACAAAAGAGAAGTAATAAATATAATGATAAAATTTAATCAATCACTTATTATTACCATCTTTGAAGCTTTGGTGATAAATTGCAGCCTCAGCCAAAAGCACTTCTCATGATTCATTGCTTGAGAGCAGCACTTAATGTATCATCAAAAGTGGACACCTTTCTTTATTTCATGGGTTATTTAACTTGAGAAAGGGAAAGTAACACAAACCTTAAATTTCTTACTCCAGCTATTCTTTTTTAGGAGCCAAAGTCAACATTTACGGTTCCCCAGTGCCTCTCACTTTCACCAAGGAATGTTTAGAATCTTAAATTTCTACTTTTCTATTACAAGGTCTTCTTTGCGAATGCACTGGTTTTGTTGAGCTAATGCTGTTTTCCTGGATCTTTCCTTCTTTTCCTGTCTGTGCTTCACTCCCTTCCAACTTTGCAATGTAGCAAGCTGAACAGTTGTTCAATCAGATGTACAATCCTGTAAGTTCTTTTTAAGATGTCCTCTGTAACATACAAAGCATGAGGATCCATTACCTTACTGTGTTGTGCTCTTCCTCTGTGAAGCCTTGCAGAATACTTCCAATGGTCACTATGCTGTATCTGTTATATCCAAATAAATGAGCTTTGTGGACTTCAAGGCCATGAAATATATTAAAAAATGCATATAATATTTCTTAAAAAACCCAAACATCCTAGCCTTTAGGTCCTCAACTTCTACATTAGAGAAGCATGCAGATAACTTTGTTTTATTTGGTTTTCTTTGCTTTTCACTTCTTCCTTCTGGAGTACTTTATTGGATCCTTCAAATTTAAATAACTTCTAATTTATTTAGTTCGCCTTAACTGACTGAGTTGATTAGGCAAACAATAATATCTAGGAAGTAACTCGTAGTATTTTTTAAAATCTGAATGGCTAAAATAGTTCATGTCATGCAAGACTGCATGTTTACTCATGCAAGGCTCTGTACGTTCAGCATATGCAATTAAGAATATAGAAATGTATTTAACCCAAGAAATTGCTGAAATATATGGTGATGAACACAAGCAGCAGTGCTTGACAAGCCGAATAATATTACTTTGGCTTGCTTAGCATTATTATTGCTAAAGCCTGCTTTAGTTGCTCAGGATCTGTCCTTGTGACTTCATTGTGTTCCCTTTTCTGTTTAATGAAGAGCAGTAACCAAATATTTTCTCTGTAGAGAGCACTTTCTATTTTTTGGTTGAGACTATTAATGTCAGCATCACAGGACAGAAATAATGATGCAACTGGATTGTAATAGCAATTTACAAGAAAAGTTTAAATAGTAATCCTTTTTGGAATTATCATATATTTGGGATAGTACATATGAGAAACTTTTTTTTTAGCTTATTAAATGATATGATAATCTGCATTAGAAAAGATATTGCCTTCACTGAAGTTAGTGGGAATATTGCTGTTAATTTTGGTGGACTGGGATTCCAGCTTTGGAGTCTACTATAGCTAAATTTTGTAGCTTATAACCATGCAGTTGATATGCCATGACTTATGTATAGGAGAAGAGAGTCCCACAAAATATGTCATTGTTATTCTTGCAGTTATCATCTAACTGTGTGTTGAATCCAGTCATAAATCGACTGTAAGTAGTGTCACACCTTATATTATCTCCTCTACCACCCAGCACACAGTTGGTCAGACCTTTTCCCTTTGGAGGACAGAACCCTTCTTTTATGTATCGTGGATAACCTCTGTCATATTTATGTTCCTGTTCAAATCACTTGCACTCTTGTGCATGTCTTTTCAGACTGAAGTCCAGTTTGTGTTGGTTATTCTCTTGATTTGCATATTTATTCCAGTTGTTATTTCAGTATTTGTTACTCTGCTGTATGGAACTTTTGTTACTTCCTAGTCTATTTGTGTGATTCCAAAGTCAAACAGTTTTAATTTTTTTTTTCTTCCTGGTTCTCCTTTTCCTTTAGTACTAGTGAACAATTTTAGTATATCCTTGAAGCTGCTTTCCCTCCTTTTCTTATCTCCTGAATTCTTACGTATATGTAACAGCCTACTTTTAACAATGTAAGTAATAATGATCCCTTTGTCCCTTAAATCATCCAGCATCTCCAAATGAAGTTGACTTCACTGAAGTCAATGGCAGCATCATTTTCTTTGAAATCTACAAGTCCAAGATTTCATCTTTTTTTTTTTTGTGATGGCATTTATGCCAATTCCTGAAATTACCTTTTATTACTGCAATTCATTATACTTCTTACTTTAATAGAATGCTTCCTTGCTGTTTTTGTTTTAATGCTCTGTTGCTTAAATGCGTCAAAGAAATATCAGTCAGTCAATCTCTATTAGTCCGATATAATATAGCTTTTTAAATTGTGAAGATGCAGAAAAGGTGCAAATCCTGCTTACTCTATAGTGTATTCACCTGTGTGAACAGGCTGATGAAAAAAATTGGGCATATGGTCTTTCATGGTTTTTTTGAAAGGTGATCATTTAAAATAGCCAATAAATTCTTGTGAAAAGTTGATTATAATAAGATACATAATTGCTTTTGTCCTGTAATGAAACTAAGATGACATACTTTGTCTAGGGACCTAAGGAACTTTCCTCTCAATAGTAAAGACTTGTTTTTCCATATGCTTCATGAGAGCAATATCATATCAAAATTTTAAGTACTTGTAGAATCTGCTTCAAATTGCTTCAACGAGCACTGAAGTTGAATGTAAAAATACTTGAATTTTAAGCAGACTAAAAAAATGTTGAAAACAATGACAGTAATTAATTTTAGTTCATTACTGAAAGTAATAAAATTTGAAGGATCTGACAAATTTCTCGCATGTAAATAGTTTCATTTTTTTTAATTTAATAACCCAGTTGATTTCTGTGTATGCCTGTGTCTGACTATTTAAAATGAAATGCAGTATCTATCCATCCATTTCTGTTATGCAGAATAATGCATGCATGGTTGCACCATAAAATTATAACAAGCTAAGTAATTCATGTTACATGTTTGTGACAAACTGTTATGGTGTTTCTGTAGGAAATTTGTTGTTTATGTACAGAACTGTTTCTTTACTTTTAAAGTATTTGATTACTGTAACAATTAGTGAAATTATTAGTGATTACTTTTATCAATTTGATAAAAATAATATACAACACAGTCACAATGCTGACAGAAAGAACACCTTAAACTTAGTGTGCTAATTTGAAACTCAGGATTGCACTTCCTATGCCTACTCTGCACACAGGAGCATTATCACACAGATAAAGAGATCAACTACTCTGCTCCTGAAAGGTACCCACAATACCAATTACTCTTCCTCATAAAAATAAAAGGTATTCCCCCAAGAAAACAGTGTAAGGAGAAAACTGGGGACAGAAATGGAAAAAGGATAGAGAGGAGAACAGCTAGAAGTGGAGTTTTTCTGATGTATGTGATAACCATGCATGATTAGGAGTGATCCAAGCCCGTCTCCCGCATTTAGTCTGCAAAATAGGCAAAGGAATCTGCCCTGCTTGGATGCGAGCAGTGTCTTGCAAGTAAACTATGTTTGGGATCTTTGTAAGTAACTCTATTCCTTTATTCTGGGAATGTCAGATTAGTTGCATTTTGTTCTCTGCTCTTTGTCAGCATCACAAGGGTTTCCTTCAAGGGAAAGTTCCTTTTCAACAATGTTTGATGTTCTTGCTGTCCAACAAGTATGGAATGCTTTAACCACAGTGAAAGCAGAAGAATTGAAAATATTTCTGCAACTTAATAATGTGCTAGGGAAATAAATATTATGCAAGACTTAACAGGAGAATATAATTGATATCTTTATCAGGTTTCATTTTAGCTATGAGGTATGCAGTTGACAATTTATTCAGTACATTTTGGAGCTGCTGTGTGACAGGAATATTGTGTCACAGTTGAACATTTGACACTTTTGCATTGGTGACATTATCATGTTTTTGCCTAATTATATACTTTCATCATCCAAAGTCCAGTGGGGCAATGAAAAGTTATTTAAAAAAAAAAAAAAAGTAAAAAGAGGCTTTTTTATCTATTCTGTATTGCTTCTTTCTTGGTATGAAGCTTGGCTGGAGGCACATGGGGAAAAGGGTTGGGCTGCTGCTAACTGTTCCTGTATACTAAAGTGAAAAAAGGAAATGCTAGAGGCAGAAAGGTGGATGTTCTGCATGTTTATGAAATGATGGACCCAAGGCCATCAAATAAAAGAGTGTGTCACGGAATCAACTAGATCAGTTTATGCCCGTGACAG